GGGGTTCTACATCTTGATCTGCAGGTAGCAGGGCATGAACTGTCACTCTGGGCATGACTTGAGCACATCTAAGAACTTAGAGCCCCCTTCTACAGTGACACACTTCCTCCAACAAGACCACACCTCCTGATAGTGCCACTCCCTATGGGCCAAGCATTCAAACACTGGCCTCTATGGGGGGGGGGGTCATACCTATTCAAACCACAGGGGGAGATTAAAAAATACAAATCTCTTTCCTAAAGTAAAGGGCTCAAAAATCTGGGGTGCTGAGGGGGTAATCCTGTCTTAGTTCCTCTTCTGTTATTGTGAAGAGACGCTATGACCAAGGCAACTTATAAAAGGAAACATTTAACTAGGGGGCTGGCTTACAAGTTTTAAAGAATTAGTCCATGATCATCATGGTGGGAAGCAGTTGAGCTACAGACTCTAAAAGATGTGAATTGTTGAGACTGGGAGACCGATGACCAAGAAGACATGGTTGTTGATCAAGTCTTTACCCAACCGACTTCCTAACTCGCTGCCGCCGGTGTATGGTGAGAAGTGGGTTGTAGCGGTTCTTGGCCCCCTTGAGGCTGGGTGAGGTCCCTGGGGCCACTGCTCAGTCTGAGGCACCAAATGTCTCCCTAGCTTTTATTTGGAAGTCGTTTGGGGCTGTTATCCAAGGGTTTTTCCCTGACCCAGTGGGCAGAAGAGGGTCGGCTTTGGCAACCCCCGTGGATTCATGCTGCCAAGCGCTGTGATCTGACTCAGTAAGACTGATTAATGGCACCCCAGCCTGCTTCAGAACTTCCTCAGGCCTCCCTGCCCCAACGGGTCCTCAGCTTCACCCTGCCCTGACCCTGCCTCCTTCTGACTCAGGCCTTTGCCAAAACCATTTTTTGAGTTTTTTTCCTTAAAGAGCTGAAAGAGAGTTTTATGGGGGAGGCGTGATATCCCAGGGATGACTCTAGAAGAAAAATGTGGGGCCATTTGTAATATGTGGGGGCAGCGGATGGGAAGAGGAGAGAAGGGGGAATGTTGAGAAATATTGTTGACACAGTCATCTTGGAGAAGAATTAGGTCATTGGCAGAGCTGACAAATGCCCTCCCACCCGGGAGTTGCAGTTCTAGGAATATACCCTGGGGAGTTCGCACACATGTGCACCTAAAGACGTGTCCAAGGATGTCCACCAAAGCCCTGTTTGTGACCACAGAAAGCTGGCCTCACTTGAAATGTCCATCAGTGAGTGGGGGAGGAAAAATAACTAATGCAATGCTGGATCAGGCGTTCACACAGACCTGCAGTCTGGAGGCCACAATGCAACCAGTGACACCCAACATGTGACAACGAGGAAGCAAGCTGAATGGGGTTTAAAAACTCACTTATGCTGGGCAGTGGCGGTGCTCACCTTTAATCCCAGCACTTGGAAGGCAGAGGCTGGTGGATCTCTGTGAGTTCAAGGCCAGCCTGGGCTACAGAGTGAGTTTCAGGACAGTCAGGGCAGTTTCAAAGAGAGTCCTGTCTCTAAAAGCCATCAAATAAATAAATAGGTACCAACAGTGGTGTATTGTTGTTGCTGTTTGTATCTATGGTTTTTTAAAAAATATTTATTTATTTATTTATTTATTTATTATGTATACAATATTCTGTCTGTGTGTATGCCTGCAGGCCAGAAGAGGGCACCAGACCCCATTATAGATGCTTGTAAGCCACCATGTGGTTGCTGGGAATTGAACTCAGGACCTTTGGAAGAGTAGGCAGTGCTCTTAACCTCTGAGCCATCTCTCCAGCCCCCTATGGTTTGGTTTTGAGACAGTCTGACCATGTAGCCCAGACTGGCTTTAAACTCCTGATCCTCTTTGCCTCCCAAGCAGTTTGATTATAAGCCTGGGCCACTATACCCAAATCTATGCATTTTTAAAAATCAAAATTGGTGCTGGGAGATATGTTCAATTGAAGTGTTTGGCATCTGTGCATAAGGTCCTGAGTTCAATCCCAGCACCCACATAAGAAGCTGAGCATGGTAGTATACACTCTGATCCCAACACGGGGAAGACAGAGGTAGGCAGATCTCTGAGGCTCACTGGCTAGCCAGCTTAGCCTGATTGAAGAGCTCTGGGTTCCAAGTGAGAGACCCTACCTCAAAGAACAAGGTACAACCAGCGAGATGGCTCAGCCGGTTGAGGCACTTTCTGACAAGCCTGTTGACCTGTGTTCAATTCCTAGGACCCACAGATTGAAAGTCAAAAACCCATTTTTGAGGATTGTTCTCTGACTTCCTCATGTGTGCTATGGCACTGGCACTTACATGCGTACAGACAGACATATATATGTATGTGTATACATACATATTTATGTGTATACATATATACACATAAATAACTAAATGCAACAAGAACAACAACAAAAAGCAGGTGGGTAGGACCTGAAGAAGATTGACTTCTGCCCCCATCTCACACACACACACACACACACACACACACACACACAAATGAGAGAAAGAAAAAAAGATAAGAAAAACCCAAAATTATATAATAAACTGTATGTGGATATTTGTATATGTGATAAAAATCCAGCACCAGGGAGAAGATGAGCCCCAAGCCCCTCTGTCGGCCAGGGTAGGTAAAGTCCATGCATCCATGACAGACAATGTCCAGCACCACAGTGGCTGGGACAGCTATTTCTTGATTGTGTCTATATGTATCTATCCATGGGGGTCGACAGCTGTTTGATGCCTTCTCCCTCTGGGACTATGTTGATCAGCAGCCACTCACTGCCACAGCAGAGGGAAGGGTAGCCCAGCAGGTTGCCCTTTCTCTCTCAGCTTCACCTAAGTCAAGGAAAAATATGTGGCCAAAGTCCTTTAAGGATCATGCAAAGGTTTTTCTGTTATGCACCCCAAATGAGAAGCAGTAATCGGGGTGATTATTGACAACCCAACCCAAATAACGATGACCTCTAGGAAAAATAAAGAGTAGTGTGGGTTCTCTGCCTTAATTAAGTGTATTGCGGACATGCTCTCTCTCTCTCTCTCTCTCTCTCTCTCTCTCTCTCTCTCTCTCTCTCGTGTGTGTGCTTTCTATATGAGTGCAGTCGTGTGCACGCCATGGAACAGATGACAACCTCAGATGTCAGTCTCATTTTGTTTTTTTGTTTTTGTTTCCGAGACAGGGTTTCTCTGTGGTTTTGGAGCCTGTCCTGGAACTAGCTCTTGTAGACCAGGCTGGTCTCGAACTCACATTGTCAGTCTCATTTTGTTTGCTTGAAACAAGAGTCTCGCTGTGTAGCCCTGGCTGCCCTGGAACTTTCTATGTAGATCAGGTTGGCCTTCAATTCACAGAGATCTGCATGCCTCTGTGTTGTGGTGTCTAGTTGGTGGTGCTGTTTGGGGAGACTTTGGAGATGTGTGGCGGCCTTGTGCCAGAGGAAGTGCATCACTCAGGGCAGGCTTTGAGAAGTGAAGGCCTCACAGTTTGCTAGCTACTTCCTGCCTACAGTTCAAGATGTGAGCTCTCAGCTGGCTCTTCTTGCCCTTATGGCTGCAGCCATGCCTCCCTGACAAGATGGACTCTAATTCCTCTGAGACTGGAACCCCAAATAAGCCCTCCTGCTCTAAGTTACCTCAATCATGGTGTCTATCACAACAGTAGAAAAGTAATTAATCTATTCTGTTTCCCAGGTATTGGGATTTCAGGCGTGTGCCAGCCTGACCGGCTTCCACCTTGTTTTGAAGCAGGGTCTCTCTTGCTCACTGCTGCATCTGCCAGCTCAGCTGTCCCCAGAGCTTGTTGTGATCTCCTGTCTTGGACTCTCACCATCAGGTAGGTATGCCGGGATGGGAAACGTGTGTACTGGCATGTCCTGCTAGTATATGGGTTCTGGGGATCTGAATCCAGACTTGCACAGTGCTTTACCCATAGGGCCAACTCCCCAGACCTGGAATTACCACTTGTATTTTATTACTTTTATCTACTACGTATATGGGTGTTTTGCCTGCACGCATATCTGTGTACCACATGCATGCCTGGTGCCCACAGAGACCAGAAGAGGGCATCAGACCCCCAGGAACTAGAGTAATGGGGGGGCGGGGTTGTGAGCTGCTATGTGGGGCCTGGGAAATGAGTCTTCTGGAAAGAGCAGCCAGTGCTCTCAAACACTTTTTTTTTTTTTAAGTATAAAGCAGGACTAGGGATGTAGCTCAGTGGTAGAGTGCTGACCTAACATGCTCAAGAACCTGGGTTCCATCCCAGCACGGCAAACACAGAATGAAGCAATTGTTAGGTTTCAACCCTGGGACTACGTATCTAGAAGATACATAGTAAGAGTAGGGATCCCTGCATGTGTCCCTCGGGGGTCACACTTTGCTGAGGAGAAGCACAAACCACCCTGCTGTTTTCATGGTGCTCTCATTTGCAAAGCAGGCGTCTTCCAGACCTCCAGAACCTGCAGAGTGACGGCCTGGTGTGGAGCCCTGGGTGTGTCATTCCCCTCTCACTGCAGCCAGCATTCTCCAGAAGGGGCCTGTCCCACCTGTGTGAGCCCAGCTAGGAACCTGACACAAGGCAAGCCTCTGGCCAGTGTCACGAGTGACCCTGATAAGAGCCACTTCAGGACAGAACTGTGTGTCTTCCTCGCTCTCTGGCCCTTCCACAGACAGAAAACACTTGGTTTTTTCTTTTCTTCCACGATTTTCAGCAGGACCAGATTTTCTGCCTCGAAAAGCTTCCAATTTTTGTGTGACTGTCCACTGTCACTGACTTTATTCTCAGCCCTATGTGTGACCGCTAAGGCGACAAATTATTTGGGTTTCCTGAAAGTTCCTCAATTCTGCATCTGACGTCCTACGTCCTAGCATGGCTGGTCACCCCACAGTGACCAGCTCCCTCCTCTCTGAGACTCAGTCTTTTTTTCATCCTCACCTGAGAGGCTGGGTCTGGCCTCATCTCTGCATTTCAGACCTAAGATTTCACACATGGGTCAGAGGGCAAGTGTTATGTCAATGAAGGCAGCGAGAATCAACTTGGAACTTTCAAAAGGATCTTTATTCTCGAGAGGACCTGGGGTCAGCACTGCCAGCCGAGTCTTGGCTCTAGTTGTTTGCTATTGTCTGTTAAAAAAAAAAAAAAAACAGAAGGTTGGCCAAGAACAGAATAATTTAGTTAAGAGCGCAAACTTTGGGCCTGGAGGGAACTGAGCTCAAGTGGGAATGGCTTAGTCTTGTCACTTATTTGCTGTGTGTCCCTGGGAGAGTGACTTGATCACTCTGAGCCATAGTTTCCTCCTCTCCATAGAAAAAGAGGTAATAGTAGAAATTGCCTCTTGGGTGTTCTTTTTTGTCTGTTTTGTTTTTCGAGATAGGGTTTCTCTGTATAACAGCCCTAGCTGTCCTGGAACTGGCTTTGTAGACCAGACTGGCCTGGAACCCACAGAGATCCTCCTACCTCTGCCTCCCAAGTGTTGAGATTAAAGGTGTGCACCACTGTACTCCCAGCTTCACAGGTAGTCTTAATTGAGCTTTTAGCTAAGGGTTTTAGCACAGTGGATGTATAAATCACAGCCAGGACACCATCAGGATGGGCTGTCATTGTCCTGGACCACCTGTGTCCAGATGGTCTGCTGTGCACCCTCACTGAGCCCGAGTAACCTCATCATGGTCCCCACCACCTTTTCCTCCTATTGTCCATTTTCCCATCCTCCCACCACCAAGTGGCCCTTGGTTTGACTTAACTCCCTGTCCTCCATGACTAGGAAGGACCTGGGCCACGGGGACACGTCTCAATATCTGTTAGATTCCAGAAACGCAGCCAAATAAAACATCCCCAAGTTCTCCAGAATGTCCCTGGAGATTCATCCCTGCCTCTGTGAGCTTCAGGCCCTCCTCAGGGTCCCCCACAGGATCCGGGCTCCTTTGTTGCCTCACCTCCTCGATCCAGTCATTGAAGGCTGAGACACGGGTGAACACCGTGGGCTTCTTCAAGGTGTTGCAGCCCAAGCCGGAAACGAAGCTGGTCACACCATGGACCTGCCAGGTGCCATTGTCAGTAGGACAGTTGAGAGGTCCTCCAGAGTCACCCTGCAATGACCAGAAAGGTGGAGACTCAGCTGTGTCTGAAGGATAAAGAGTGGGCTCTGAGCTCAGAGACATCAAGAAACATTCACATAGCGGGTGATGGTCCACACACCTTTAATCCCAACACTTGGGAGGCAGAGGCAGGTGGATCTCTCTGAGTTCGCGGCCAGCCTGGTCTACAAAATGAGTTCCAGGACAGGCTCCAAAGCTACACACAGAAACCTTTCCTCAAAAAAAAAAAAAAAAAAAAAGAAAGAAAGAAAGAAAGAAAAAGAAAGAGAGAGAGAGAGAGGGAGAGAGGAAGAAGGAAGGAAACATTCACACTACTTCACTTCTTTGGACAAAGGGACATGGGCTTACAAAACCCCAAGGCAACAGCTCTCAATTTATAGGTAGCCACCTCTTTGTTTCACAGGTGTTACATATCAGATAATTGCATTACAGTTCATAACAGTAGCAAAATTGTAGCTATGAGGTAGCAACAAGAGTAATTTTATGGTTGGGGGTCACCCCAACATGACATCGTATTAAAGGGTCACGGCATTCAGAAGGCTGAGAACCCCCGTCATAAGGGTTAATGAGAATGCAAGATGTCAGTACAGCCACCCAGCCGAGATAGTTCTCCAAAGAGGGTGCCCCTTGTTTGTTCTCTTTCACATTTAATGTGTTGGGGTTTCCTTTGGTTTTGATTGATGGAGACACTGTGTAGCCCGGGCTGATCTTGAACTTGCAATCTGCCTCAGCCTCCAGGGTGCTAGGATACCAGTCTGGGATGCTAAACATATGCTGTCACGCCCCGCTGTTCACAGTGAGAGCACCCTCAATATCGAATTTTCACTTCAAAGCCACAACAGGTATGGGCTGGCAGTGCAGCTCAGTTGGTAACGTGTCTGCTTAGCATGCACAAAGCTGTGGGCTCTAATTACTGCATCAGCTGGACGTAGTGGTCATGGCTGTAAGCCCATCACTCAAAGGTGGATACAGGAGGAGCAAGGTCATTCTTGGCTACATCGTAACTTTGAGGCCCAGCCTGTGATACACCAGAGTCTCAAAAGAGTGATTGGGTCAGGTAGTAGGGGCGCACCACAATTCCAGTACTCAGGAGGCAGAGGCAGGTGGATCTCTCTGAGTTCGCGGCCAGCCTGATCTTCAGAGTGAGTACTAGGACGACAGCCAGGGCTACACAGAGATAGCCTGTCTCAAAAATAAAAAAAAAAAAAAAAAAGCAGGGGCTGGAGAGATGGCTCAAAGGTTAAGAGCATTGCCTGCTCTTCCAAAGGTCCTGAGTTCAATTCCCAGCAACCACATGGTGGCTCACAACCATCTGTAATGGGATCAGGTGCCCTCTTCTGGCCTTCAGGCATACACACAGACAGAATATTGTATACATAATAAAATAAATAAATATTAAAAAAATAGTAGCAACAAAAGTAGTGACTGGCAGAGGCAGGTAGAGGCAAGTAATTGTCATGAGTTTGAGACCAGACCAGCCTCCATAGTGAGCTCAGGTCAGTCAAGGCTACATTGGGAGATCCTGTCTCAAAAAAAAAAAAAAAGTGACAAAAAGGGCTGGGACTCCTGTCAAGCCAGGTGGGAGTGAGGCTAGAATCCAAACTCCTGCTGCCATCTCTGAACTAAGTTGAGTCCCTTTTCATCCCACCAGGCCTGGAGATTGCATGAAGCAAACCGGCAAGGTATGTCCAACTTAGGGCAGATGGTGGAGGGACTTCAGGGACCTCTACACATGCCCCACCCCACTCCAGGCAGGTGCCAACTCACATTGCAGCCAGACTGGACATCTCCTCCAGCGCACACCATGGTCTTCTTCACGGAGAAACCCCACCAGTCCCACTTGGAGCAGTGTGCATAGTCCACCACAGGCAGCAGGGCCTCCTGCAGCTTGTCGGGGAGAGGCCCGTTGGCTGGGGAGACAGAGAACACTGCCTGGGACACCTGGGAGCTGCAGAGTGGGAGCCTTCAAGGGCTCCATTAGCCTGATAGGAACCATGGGGTCTTGCTTGCTCTGTGTCCTGTGGCATCCTCAGTACTGGGCATATAGTGAACACCCCCAAAATATTCTACTGACCCTATTTGTGTTTGGGAGGATCAGGGAGAAAGTAGAAGCCAGAGAGGAATACTGGGCAGCACAGATGGCTCCCTCTGTGACCTCCTGTCCCTCCCACTAGTCCTAGACACCTGTTCTCTGTGGTCAGGTAGAAAGGTCAGCACGTACTGTAAAGACGGCCCCAGCCACTAATGTAGCAGGGTGCTCCGTTGGGGAGGATTTCACCAGCAGGAGGAAGGCAGGCAGGCTGGACTTTGTCTCCCAGCTTGGCACTTCTTGAGAGCTTGATCAGGGCGATGTCATTGCTGGGGGGACATGGGAGTCACATGAAACTTGATCTCCTGATGGACCCATAGTGTGTACCTCCTTTGCTCCTTGGATTTTGAATCCGCTTATTGATTGGTTTTTGCGGTGCTGGGGTTCGAACTCAGGGTCTTACGATTCTAGGCAAGTGGTGCACCACCAAGCTACACCCCAACCCTTCCTAAGTCCATTTGTTTTATTTTGCGTTGTTTTTAAGATGGGGATCTCACTATGTAACCCCTGGCTAGCCTGTGTAGACTGGGCTGGCCCGTAACTCACAGAGATCCACCCATGTCAGTGGATGAGATTAAAGGTGCATGCTACTGCTCCAAATCTACCTCATAGTCATTTTAGCCCTGCTAACCCTTGTCGTCTGTGCTCCCATGATCCAGCTATGTCACCTAGAAGGTTCAGGGACACAGTTGCCCTCCTACCCTAGTGCTTTCCAGTACGGTGATCTATTTTGGTGTCTGAGAGCCCACATTTCTGACAGGTCCCCAGGGGATGCTGCTGCCGCCCCCTCCTCCAGTATCACACTGTAAGTACACCACACTCCATGCTGCTGCCTCCCCCGGGTACCTCACTGTAAATACACCACACTCCATCTTGACAGTCTAGCTGCCACTCAAGTCATTTCAATGGAGTCTGATGTAGCTCTCTGCTCATTCTGGGATTCTAGCCAGGGTGGGCTAGAGTCTTCACCCACCACTCCTTTGTTACTGTCATTGCAGCTACCCACAGTGTGTGCCCGCTGGGCTCCGGCAGCTGTCTCTAGGATTGAACTCTCAGTTTGCTTGGTGTCTTGCAGTCTAGAACCCCCATCTCCCGACCTGAGACTTCACTTACCCTCAGGCCACACAGTTGGGGTTCCACTTGGGGTGCACAAAGAGGTCCTTAGAGTTAATGGGGATCACCTGCTCTGGGCCCTCTTCCTCAGATCGGTCATACTCGCCCAGTACCACCTGGTAGGTAAGGGAACTCCTGCAGAGGAGAGGAGTGAAAGTCAGTTTGAGCCTAGAGCCAACCTCGTCCCCCTCCTCTTGTCCTGGCTGCAGGGACAGTGGCCGGGGCAGGGACAGGGGGTCGAACTCACGAGATGCAGTGGCCTGCAGTCATAACCCAGTTAGCGTTAATGAGGGTGCCGCCGCATGTGTGGTGGTAGCTCCCGCCCTTCTCATACTGAAGGGAGATCTGGTGGCCAAAAAGAAAGGCGCGTGAGTGACCTGGACCCAATACCATGGGACCCAACACCAGTGGTTTTGTGAGTTGTACACTGTACAAATCTAGAAGGTGCTATTCACACAGGGGAAAAAATGGTGCCATCTGAAATATGTAGTGTACCACCTACGCAACTCCTCATGGGACTCCGCTATTAGGATCACATTTTGATTTGCCGAAGCCGCCTCACCACAGGCTTTATGATGTCTCTGGGGTCCACAACACTCTGACTTCTGGGGCATCCACAAACTTTGTGTTTCCTGAAGGCTCCCCAAGACCCTCTGTCCCATCAGACCTCCCAGTCTCCTGAACCTTAGATTTTTTCAAGGTCTCTTGGGTCTGCCTCACCTTGAGTCCTCTGCCTTTTCTTTTCTATGCATTCTCACTTTCAAAAGCTCCCTCTACAGCTGGGCATGGTGGTCTCTGCCTGTGATTCCAGCGTCTGCGCAGTAATGGCAGAACGATCGGTGGTTGGAGCCTAGCTAAGGTTATGTGAGGCTCTCTCAAAAAAATACATAAAAGAGGGTGGGGCCAGAGAAGTAACTCTGTGTGTAGAGTACTTGCCTAGTATGCACAAAGCCCTGCCTTCCAACCCCAGACATGCATAAGTGGGGTGTGGTGGTTCATGCTTAACCCCACCACTCAGGAGGTGGAAACAGAACCAGGAGGCCAAGAGCATCCTTGGCTGTGTATTGAGTTTGAGGACAGCCTGGGCTACATGAAACCCTGTATCAAAAACAAAGAACAACAAATCTCCTAACCAGAAGTGAACTGACCCATGAGTCTGATCTGCTTAGGCCTGATCAGATTCCTGTCTCCTCCTCACACTTATCCCTTGTGTGCTATCTGTGATGTTTTTACACTCTGAAGGCCACAGTAAGTCACTGTTGTCACCAGCGTATGGCCAACAAAGCCTACAGGATTCATGCCCTGGTCCTTCACAGAATAAGCTGTGATCCTCCTTGTCCTCACCATCTTTGATGATGCAAATGTTCTTTTTGTTTGTTTGTTTGTTTTTCAAGACAGAATTTCTCTGCGTAGCCCTGGCTGTCTTGGAATTCACATTGTAGACCAGGCTGGCCTCTTACTCAGAGATCCACCTGTCTCTGCCTCCTGAGTGCTGGGATTAAAGCATGTGCCACCGCTGCCCGGCACTTCTGCAGCATGCTGGCCCCAGCCTCATGTGGCTGTTGAGCCCTAGAAATGAAGGTGCACCTAGGAACTAGATTTTGTAGCTGTCTAATTTGTATTGATTGCGTGGGTTTTAAAAAATGTTTATTTAAGCCCGGTGGTGGTGGCGGAGGCAGAGGCAGGTGGATCTCTGTGAGTTCAAGGCCAGCCTGGTCTACAAGAGCCAGTTCCTGGACAGGCTACAAAGAAACCCTGTCTCAACACCCCCCCCCAAAAAAAAAGTTTACTTAGGTGCATGTGTGTATCTCTGGTTGTTTATTTTTGTTTTTCGAGACAGGGTTTCTCTGTGTAGCACTCCCGGCTGTCCTGGAACTCACTTTGTAGACTCGGCTGGCCTTGAACTCACTGAGACCCGCCTGCCTCCTCCTCCTCCTCCTGAGTGCTGGGATTAAAGGTGTGCACCGCTGCCACCCAGCTACGTGTATGAATCTCTGTATTGAGTATATGTCATGTGAGTTCTGGTACCCTCAGAGACCAGAAGGCGTTGGGCCCCCTAGAGATGGTGTTACAGTCAGTTATAAACTGCCTGACTAGGGATTGAACTCGGGTCCTCTAGAACATCAGCAGGTAACTCTTCACCATTGAACTCTCTCAACAGACCCTGGTGGGGTTTTTTGTTTATTTGTTTGTTTTGTTTTGTTTGTTTTTTGAGACAGGGGTCTCAGATAGCCCAAGCTGGCCTCAAACTTGCTACGTAGCTGAGGCTGCCCTTGAATGCCTGATCATTTGCCTTTAGTGAGTGCTAGAATCTTAGACATATAACCACTATGTCTGCCTTAATTTCTATTCAACTTAAATAGCCACATGTGGCTTGTGACTGTTGTTAGGGAGTCTAGCCCTCTGGGCTCTTCCTAACCCTTTTGCCGTTCTCAGCCCTCTGGCCCCTCTGGAGAACTCCAGGAGTTTAGAAAAAGTCTCCCCTCTAAACACAGCCCCTGCATTTCCACTGCTATTTAGCCAACCCCTTAAACATCACCCTTTCCCCAGATCCTACTTTCAAATTGCAGCTGTCCCAGTCAAGATTACAGATGGAGCAGTCACAAGCTCCAAGAAAATGCCTTTGTCCGAGGGCTTTGGGCCCTTTGAAGTCAAAGTGGGGCATGGAGAGGAACCGGTGGGGTCAAGGCTGGCTGCCATGTCGTCAGAGCCCACAGTGGAGGCAGGGGCAGCTGGTAGTGTTCTTACCTGCCAAGGCCAGCTGTAAGGAACAGCGTCCTCCCCATTGACAACTCGGCCGGAGGGGTTGAAGGAACGCTGGCCACAGCCTGAGGCTAGAGGAGAGAGAAGAGAAGCCAGTCAGCCAGAAGTGTCCTCCAAAGAAAAGGGGGTTCAAGTGTGGTGGCGTCCACCTTTAATCCCAGCACTTGGGAGGCAGAGGCAAGCGGAATTCCGTGAGTTTGAAGCCAACCTGGTTTACACAGGGAGTCCCATGTCAGCCAGGGCTAAGCAGAGTCCCTGCCTAAAAATGAAAGAGGAGGAGGAGGAGGAAACAAGAGAAGGGATGGGCTTTGTGACCGCATGTGAACCCCTTCTCCTCTCTAGACTTCAGTAGCCATGCATGAACTAGCATTTATGCACTTAGACTGTGCCAGGGCTTTTCAGAGTTGGGGGAGGGCAGGGCCTCCTTTCGCTCAAGGACTGAAGACTTAGAACTTTGTTCCCGGTACCCAGGGAGCCCTCAAGCTTGAGAACTAAAAGGCTGGGTGTAGTGTATGTGATCCCAGCATTGAGACTCCGAGTCCAGAGGCTCAGCCTCAACATCACTAACAGAATGATTTCCTTTTTAACCATAAAACAAAACGGGACTGGCAAGATAGCTCAGAGAGAAAATGTGCTTACTATCCAGGCTAATGGCCCAAGTTTGATTCCTGGGACCCCTCAAAAGAGACCTGATTCCTCTGGTCTCCGCATGAGCGCCATAATATAGGTGCACTCCCCAATAAATAAATAATGAAATGGAAAAAATTAAAAGGCAAAAAGCCCCAACTAAAAGTGGCACGCTAGCGCATGCCTGTAATCCTTGTACTTGAGAGACTGAGACAGGAGGATTGCCAGGAATACAAGGAAAGGCAGGCCGAACTATAACAACATGAGACTTTCTCAAAAAAAAAAAAAAAAAAGAAAGGAAAGAAAAGAAAGAAAAAGAAAAGAAAAAAGGAAAGGAAAAAAAGAAGAAAGAAGAAAAAGAGGGGAGTGGAGGTGACGAGGCTGCCTGGGTTCACAGTGCAACTTGGCCACATGCTCAGCATGAGCTACTTCCTCTCCCCGCTGGCTCCACACTGTGATGAGCTACCTGAGGTCGTATAAGAAGGAGACCCCTCTGAATCCCGCCTGACAGATAGCAAGCTCTCAGTAAATGCCGACTGTCACCATTGTGGTGACAAGGGAAATTCTGTGGACCCGTTTAACAGAAGAGGTAAAATTCCAGCTCAGACCGACAAGCCACAGAGCCCAGACCTTAAACCAGGAGGCTGTCCATTGTTCCCTCGAGGAATCTTCCCCTTTGGGTTCCCAGTCTTCTTTCCCACCTGGTTCATCCACGCTTGTCCCCACCCCTTACTCCTGTCCCCGAACCAAGCTGAAGCCCCTACAATCGCATCCCAGTGAAGCTGAGAGACCCTTTCCTGTAGAAGCAGGCATGGGGTGTCACCCAGGGGGAGCAGAGTGAGGGGCATACTTCAAAGGCCCCCAGGCTGATGCAGTATGGGGACAAGGGCACAAGCTGGGGGCTTACCAAGGGCCACAAGCAGGAAGGCACTCAGCAACTGGAGCATGGTGAGCTTTGGGGTTAGAAAGAAGGTGGAGCTGGGGCTCTAATATAGTGCAGGAGGCTGGTGGAGGGGGGCGGGTCAGGCCCCACTCCCATAACAGGTGGCAGAACACCAGCTTTTTCAGGGCCCCAGGCCACGTGCCAGCCACTGCAGATTAAGGAGCGGGAACTGATGGAAGGACCCCACTGCACAGGTGGTATCGAACGGCCAGCTGATAACACAGGGATAGGTAAATGGATTCCATCAGAAAGGCCAGCCTCTCCCAGGGAAGGCCAGAGCCTGGCAGCTGGGCAGGCCTGGGTTCAGATCCTGACTTGTAGCCCTGAATGCTTGGTTTAACTACTGTGAGTCTCAGATTTCTGGTCTCTAACACGAGATTGATAGTCATACCTACCTCAATAAAAGACTGCTTTTTGAGTACTTTAATATATTAGGTGCTTTCTAGGACTGCGAGCTCAAACAGCAATGGTCCCAGCCTGCCTAGAGCCTGTCTGGTGGTGACGCAGAGATGAACCCACAAAAATTTTAAGAAGTTGTGTCCACTAGTGAGAGCTGGCGCTGTAGGAAAACGAAACCTAGGTGCTTGGAAAGAGAGGAAGTAGCTCATTCTCCTGGGAGGTGGGACAAAGTGACATTTTGACGAAGGAGGCAATATGAGACTGAGTCCTGAAGCCAGCCACGGAGGGGAAGTGCTCAGCTTGGGCTTGGCTTGCCCAAGGAAAGGAGGGCCGGGGAAGCTGGAGCTTCCAGGCAAAGTGGAGCTGGGTGAGGTGCTGTGGTCTGGGACCCCGGCTACGCCGAGGCTGAGGCAGGAGGTTTATGAGTTGGAAGTCAGCTAGTGCTTCATAACAAGCCTCTGTCTCAAAGAAAAAAACAAAAGAGGGCTGGAGGCAGAGCCCAGTGGGGTGAGTCTCTTCCTTTCATCCGGGTGAGGAAGAGGGGAGCAGGAAGTGGGGAGGGGAGGAGACGAGGGGAGTAGAAAGAGGAGGAGAGAAGGAAGAAAGGAAGGAAAAGAAGAGGAGGAACAGAAGGATAAAAGAGGAAGAAGAGGGTTGGTAAGATGGCTCAGCTGTTAAAGGCGTCCATCAAGCCTGACAACCTGAGTTGATACCCAGGACCCAGGTAGAAGGAGAAAGCCAACGTCTGTATGTTGTCCTCTGACCTCCACACATGTGCTGTGACTCATGCAGCCACCCCTCCCATCTCCCACATGGACAACAATGATGTAATTAAAAGCTTTTGAAAATAGGAGCGTGGTGAGGACGCCGCCAAAGAAGCGAAGAGACTGATCCCAGGCGTCTTCCTCCAGCACTCTGTACGTCATCCGCACTTGGTCCTGCCGAGCCCAGAGCTTGTGATCGGGCTGGTTTAGACCCCTTTCTCCACCTCCTGAGTGCTAGGATTGCAGGGAGGCCACCAGGACCACCTGGCTTTCATGCATTTGCCTCGTGCTCTGCCTTCTCTCTGTGACCATCTCCCCTGCTGCTGTTCCTTCTGCAACAGCCCTGCCCCCAGTTGGTGGGGACAGAATCCACAGCCTCATGAATGTGAAATAGCGAAGCCACCACCAAGCCACACACCAGCACAGGGCCAGCATTTTTTGTTTGTCTTTGTTTTTCAAGACCGGGTTTCTCTGTATAGGCCTGGCTGTCCTAGAACTAGCTCTGTAGACCAGACTGGCCTTGAACTCAGAAATCCGCCTGCCTCTGTCTTCTAAGTATTAGCCCATTTCTTTTTTCTTTATTTTTCTTTCTTTCTTTCTTTTTTTTTGTTTTTTTTTTTTTTTTTTTTTTTGGAGACAGGGTTTCTCAGTGTAGCTCTGGCTATCCTGGAATTCACTCCATAGACCAGGCTGGCCTCAAACTTGGAGATCTGCCTGCCTCTGCTTCCCAAGGGCTGGGGTTAAAGGTGTGTGCCATCATCACCTGGCTTAGGGCCAGCATTCTGTAAGGGTTCCATAACATGTGTGAATAAGACAAGTTCTCATGACCCCTCATCATCCCTCCTTAGCACACGTCAGGCTCAGCGTGTCTGAAGTCCTCCTCTGGCCTCTATAAGTAGAAGTCAAGGGAAGGCAACACGTAGCTGCTCTACGTGGACCCTTGATGGGAGAAGGTCTCCTGTGCGGCTAGGAGGGTTTTCTTTAAGTTTCTGGTGCCTCCTGTCTATCGTGCCCACAGTGATGCCTGCCGCTCCAGTAGCCTGGGCTGTTGATCAGCTTGTGTACATAACAGAAACAGCTGTGAAAATCCTTCAAACTGGGATAAAAATAGCTGTGCCCTCCCTACTTCCTGTGGGCCTGGACATATTTGCTCAGCTTGGATGCTCAGAGCTTTTCCCCAGACCCTGCACTGGTGAAGGGGGCAGGGGGGCGGGTGGAAGAGACGGGCCTGGGGAACGGGAGGAGGGAGGGGCGGGGTGGTTCCTATGGCAGAGGACTGGAAACAGACCTCTTCGTCCAACAGCTATCTGACAGATGGGACAGGAGCCCAGGGAAAAGCTGGGACTCAATCAAGGTCCCAGCGCTTTCCTAGCCAGCTAGAAGCTAGCTCAAGGACGCAAAAGTTGAAACCCTCCCCCGGCCCTTATCCGCAGGGCCTTGAACTACTAAGCTGCTCAAGGTGTGTGACTCCAGGGCAGTGGGTCTCCAGAGATGGCCTCTGTGAGGTCAACTGTTCATTCTCACCTGGACCAAGTGGGCATTCTTCTCAAAGGCTCGGGAAAGATACTGTTAGCTGTGCTACTGAGAAAACCTCAGAGATCCTGGTGTTAGCAATAGCAGCAGACCTTGAGGTGGGCTCCTCAGAGCCCCAAAGAGGAAGCTGCCCAAGGAGAACAGAGGGGGACCATCCATACCAGGCCTCAAGCCAAAGTAAAATGAGCCCTCGCTTGAGTGGGATTGGCAGACTGGGTACTGGAGGGTGAGTTAAGAACCAGGATCTGGGGCTGGCCTGGACCTTGCATGCCTGTGATTCCAGCACTGGGGATGGTGAGGCAGGAGGGTTACCACGAGTTTGAGGATGGTTTAGAACTACAACATAGCGAGTTCCAGGCCAGCCTAAATGAGACCTGCGTTTGGAGGAACCTCAAAGCCCACTCCCAGAAATATTCTTCCTCCAACAAGGCTTCCTAATCCTTCTAATCCGATCTACTAACAATTCTACTCCCTGGTAACTAAGCATTCAAATAGATGAGCCTATGGAGCCCATTTCTATTCAAACCGCTGCAGGGGCTGTCAAGATGGCTCAGTTGATAAAGGCACTGGCTGCCAAACCTGATGATGACCTAAATTCAATCCCTGGCACTCACATGGTGAAAGGAGACTAACTACTCCCAAAGTTGTCCTCTGATTTTCACACGGGTGCTGGGGCACAGGAGTCTACACACACTCACCACTAAATAAGTCTTTTTTTAAAGTACACTTGCTAAAAACAAAAACGATAACAAACCAATAAAAAACCTAATTTGTTGCCAGGCCAGTGATGGCGCACACCTGCAATCCCAGCCCTCGAGAAGCAGAGGTAGATGGATCTCTGTGAGTTCGAGGCCAGCCTGGTCTACAGAGCTAGTTCCAGCACAGGCTCCAAAGCTACAGAGAAACCCTGTCTCAAAAAAACAAAAAACAAACAAACAAAAAAACCAAACTAATTTGTTTTTGAAAGTTTCGATGGTCTGAACATGATGGAATACATTTTTAATCCCAGCATTTGGAAGGCAGAGGCAAATGGATCTGTGAGTTCAAGGCCAGCCTGGTCTACGCGAGTTCCAACCCAACCAAGGCTACTTAGTGAAACATTGTCTGAAAAAAAAAAAAAAAAAAACTCCAATGGGATTGTGAAATAGGACAAAATTCAAATGATTTTTTTCTTGCAGGATTTCTCAGAGCGTTTGCTGTGCTGTGCTCACTTGTGGGTCACATATTTGGGAGGTTTGTGCCCCGGAGCCTACCATATTTTATTGCTCTTAGTTCTTCAGCTACTAATCCCACCCCTCCCAGAGGGGCAGCCAGGTTGCGGAGGGGTGATGGTGGTGGTGGTGGTGGTGGTGGTGGTGGTGGTGGTGGTGGTGGTGGTGGTGGTGGTGGTGGTGGTAAGGACGCCTAAGATTGAGCAAACGCCCATCTGTGGCTTGTAGAGCTGGGAGTTGCACAGGTGGCCCTTGTCCCAAGGAAGGCCTTGCCTCAGTGGGAACCGGAAAGGGTTGTTGGGCGATGGGCACAGCCTTTTTCCACAGCGTTTGCCATGCCTTCTCGAGAGCTGGCAGGGTTAGGGTGGAGGTGGAGGTCCATCTAGCTCCTTCAGATAGTGTACACTCCACAGATGTTTGTCAGGCTCATGAGAGGTACCAGGGTGCTTCTGATCACCCGGATGGTTCTGTGAAGAAGGAAGATGGGGGGCACACTCCTCAACTCCTATGGCCCTCCCAGCTTCTCCACAAGGGCCCTGGCTCCACCTACAACAGTGGTTCCTAATGTGTGGATCACATATTAGATATTTACATTATGATTCATAACAGTAACAAAATGACAGTTATGAAGTAGCAACAAAGTAATTTGATAGTTGGGGGTCGCCACCACATGAGGGAGTGTATTAAAGGGTGGCAGCATCAGGAAGGTTGAGAACTGCTGCCCTATGACCTTTCTAGGTCCTCATCTCTTAGCTCCACAAACTCCCACCTCCCTTTGCCCCTTCAGGCCTAGGATGGCACAGGCTCCTCTCCTATGAACCTCAGGAGACTTCATGGCCCCTTGTCCATTTTCCCAACATGTGCCTTCTTTGATTAAGCCTTCCTAGAAATCCCTCAGTATGGCATTTGTTCCCTCCAAGGCCTTGGCTTGATGCAGGTTTGGTTGAATGAAGCAAAGACCCAAAATAACAGAAAATTAGACAGAGGGCCAGTGAGACCGTTTAGCAGGAGAATGGACTTTGCGCAAGCCTGTCAACCTGAGCGGATCCCTGGAACCTCCGTGTCTTTCATTTCTCTTGCTGTGATTAAACCCATGACCACAGAGCA